AACCACTGCTCTCCCTCTGGCCCTGTGATCATTCACATGTGTGCCTACAAAGCTTCTGAAGCCCTCAATTCCCCAAAATCCACTGACTGTGCTATGGAAAACTATTGCCTCTATCTTTTCCTAAAATTGTGTGACTATTTCTTTTTAAGGAAGAAAATGTAAGATGTTTTGGTGAGTAAAACCTGTCGAAATAAATCCAACTTCACCAGCGTATCACACTTTTATTTTGGGCTTCTCGTGTACACCCATTATCAAGTAAAGCAGCACAAGACATTTTGTTTCTTTTTCCTTTTTTCCTTTTTTTGGGGGGTGGGGGGAGTTAGTTTTTTGAGACAGGGTCTCGCCATGTAGTTCAGACTGGCCTTGAACTCACTCTGTAGCCCAGGATGGCCTCGAATTTGTGGTGATCCACTTGCCTCAGCCTCCTGAGTGCTGGGATTATAGGTATGCATCAACACACCTGGCAACATTCTGTTTCAATTTCTATTCTCTACCAACATCCACAGTGGTGGCTGTGGACCTTTGTAGGTAAGGACCATTTATGCAGGGCCCACGGCCTCTGATTAACTGTCCTTTGTGTCCCTCAAAAACAGCCATCAGGGTTACAGGTGAAATTGATGGAGCTCCTAATCTGCAAACACCAATAGAGAGTCATTTTTTCATTATACTAAAATGACTGCAAGAAGCCAGATGTGGTAGTGCATGCCTGTAGTCCCAGCACTTAGGAGACTGAGGCAGGAGGATCACTGTGAGTTTGAGGCCAGCCAGGACCAGACAGACCTTGGCTCAAAAAAACCACGAAGTAATAATAATAATAATAATGATAATTACTGCAAGAAACAAAAGTGTAGACTTTTTAAACTGAAGATGATTGACACTTCCACTACACCATTAAAAAACCTTTTTTAACTTGAAGATCAATGTAAATTTACGTACAGTTGACGATATATTACAGAGGGATCTTGTATACCCTTTACCTTGTTCTCTGCAGTGGTAACATGGTGCAAAACTATACACCACAGGAGACACTGGATCTGTCGTATGTTACTGATGAAAATGTGAAATGGTACAGCCCCTATGGGAAACAGTTTGGCAGATCCTCAAAATGTTAAACACAGGTTTACCACTATAATTCATAGCAACATTATTTATAATGGCCTGAAAACAGAAACCACCTAAAGCCCTTCAACAGATGTGTGAATAAACAAAATGTGGTACATACAATGTAATATTACTCAGCAGTAAAAAGAAATGAAAGTTATTGACAGGTTACAATAAGAGTGAACCTCAAAAAGATTTCCCCCAGGAAGCTAAGGCAGGAAGGTCTCCATGAGTTCAAGACCAATCTAGAACACATAGTGAGTTCAAGGCCAGCCTGAACTACATGACAAGACACTGTCTCAAAAACAAAACAAAACAAAAATTTTAAAGCCAGTCACAAAAGACCATATATTGTATGATTCCATGTGTGTGAAATTTCCAGAATAGGGAAATCAACAGAAACAGCAAGTAGATGAGTGGTGGCCTAAGGATGGGTGTGGGGCTGAGCAGGTAATGGGGAATGACTGATAATGGCTACAAAGTTTGGCTTTGGGATGATCAAATATTGTAAACTCAAATAGTTACACAACTCTGAATATACTGAGTATCATTGAATTGGAGACTTTAAATGGGTGAGTTGCTTTTTTTTCATTTTTGGGGGACAGGATCTTGCTATATAGTTCAAACTCACAGTAATCCTCCTGCCTCAGCCTCCTGAGTGCTGGGATTACAGACCTGACCACCACACCCAGCTCCAATGTTTTTTTCCAATACTTTTTTTTTAAAAACCCAAATTGCCATTTCCTCCACAATGTCAACCTGACTTGCTTCATGGAGAAAACTGTATGGTGTCAAAGCTGGACACGGACATCCTCCAGTCAAGAGGCAGAACAATTCCCTGAGCACAAAGTCCCCTTGTGTTGTCCTTTTACAGCCATAAGCCCTGCTGTCCACCTCTGACCCCTGACCCCCAGCAGCCACTCATTTATTCTCCATTTCTCTAAGTTTGTCATTTCAGGGTGTAACATGAGTGAATCATACAATGTGATCAGTGGAGACTGGCTGTTTAGACGCAGCATAATTTCCTGGGGATTTATCCAAGTTTGTATCTGCATCAATAGTTCATTCTTTTTTATTGCTGAGTAGCTTTCCAAGTGATCACTGGATCACTGTCATTTAACTCCTCACCGCTGGTGACATCCATCATTTCCAGTTGGGGATATTACCAGTGACACCGCTGTGAACTGTCCTGGGTAAACAGAAGTTTTCATTTCCCTGAGATAAATGCCCAAGGGCGTAACTGAGTTGCTGCTTGGTCATTGCATATTTAATTTCAGAAGAAGCTGTCAAGTTGTTTTGCAGAGCACTGCTTACATTTTTTTTTCCCCACCAGCAGTGTAGAAGTGACTCTTTCTCTGCATCCTCACCGGCTTCTTGGTGCTATTGCCATTTTTATCCTAGCCTGGGCTGGGGATTTAGCTCAGTGGTTCCACCGCCTGCCTCCCAAGCCCAAGGTCCTGAGTTTGATCCCTGGTACAAAAAAAAAAGTGTATCATATCCTAGCCTAATAGGTGTGTAGTGATAGCTCGTTGAGGTTTTAATTTGTATTTCCCCAATGGTGGATGATGTCTTTTCATGTGTTTATCTGCCATCTGTGTATCATTCTTAGTGAATCATCCCTTTGTGTCTTTTGCCCACATCTCAACTGGATTGTTTTCTGGGTTTTGAAAGTTCTTCATGTAGGCTAGAAACTAGTCATTTGTTAGCTCTGTAGTTTCCAAGTATTTTCTTTTCCTTTTACAGGGTCTTTCAAGGAACAAAAGTTCCCAATTTTAATAAGATCCAATTTACCACATTTTTTTCTTTTATGGAGAATGTTTCTGATGTCAAATCTAACTCTGACGAATCCTAAGGTGTAATGCTTACGTTAGGTATACTTTTTTTTTTTTTTGCCTTTGGGCCCAAACTCCAACACTTTTGTATAAAACCTTTGCCAAAAACTGGTTTGGCATATTTGTATGGGTCTTTTTTTCTGGGGTCTCTATTAATCATTATATCTATTGCTCTGCCAATATCACACAGTCTTGATTACTACAGCTATGTGGTAGGCTTTAAAGTGAGTAGTGAGACTTCTCCATTTCATTATTATTTCTCAAGATTATTTTAGATATTCTACAGACAAACAAAAAACCCTTCTGCAGAATAGAAATTGTATTAAGCCAAAGGATGACTTTGGGGGGTAACTGACATACTATTTTCTTGGGTCTTCCAATTCATGAAAATGAGAAACTTCTCCTTTTACATTTCATCTATATTTTGTGATTTTCAATATACGGACCCTGTATGTGATTTGTTTATACATAAGTATTAACTTTCTTTGCAGAGATTGTAAACCATATTGTTTTTATATCAACTTCCACATGTTTATATCATTATACAGAAATGCAGTTGACTTTTGTGTGCTGATCTTGTATCCGATGACCTGGCCAAACTCAGTAGTTCTAGGAATTTTGTTTTGTTTTTGTAGTTAACAAGGTCGTTTGCATCATTTTACTTCTTCCTTTCCAATCTGCCTTTTATTCCCTTTTCTTGCCTTATTGCAGTGGCTAAAACCTTCTGACCTAGATTGAAGAAACGACATCTTTGCCTTGTTCGCAAGCTTAGAGGGATAGTATCCAACCTTGTAAGATGTAGGTTTTTTAACCACAAAACATCTTTAAAAATTCATTTTTCCAGACATGGTGGCATATGCCTGTAGTCCTAGCACTTGGGAGGCTGAGGCAGGAGGATCGCTGTGAATTTGAGGCCAGCCTGGGCTAGTGAGTTCAAGACCAGCCTGAACTACATTGCGAGACCATCTCAAAAAAAAAAAATCGTTTTGTCTTTTTCCCCTCCCCCAGGTCTCATCCCTTGGCGGGAGGGTTGATTTAAGGCCTAGCAATCGCTAAGAGGAGGTGACAAAGCAGCCGAAGGGTCGGAAGATGTATCAGCACTTCCCGCAGGAATGACAGGACTGTCCCCCGCCCCCCCCCCGACGGAGGAAGGCAGTGGGTGGGGGGCTCTGAAGCCCGGATCAGCTACCGTAGCTCGAGTCCCGGCCCTGGATCGTCAGGGCCAGGCCGGGCGGGGACGGCAGACACCAGCTTGCTGCAGGCTCTGCCAGCCTCGCCGCCTGCCAGCTGGACTTGGCGCCAGGAGAGACTCAGATACCCAGGGCCAGGATGGCAGAGAGGCCAGGCCAGATTTAGATTGCGTGAGCTTTTGGCAGGAGCTGCCTATTGGAGGAGAGGATGGGCAAAGAATAGAGGAAGCAAACTGAGGCTTCCCTGCGGGGAGAGTCGGCTGGCAGCTGAGTGCCTCCGCACCCTGCACGTGATCGGGCCCGGCTTCCTTGTAAGGACCGGGACCGCCAGCCACCTAGGCAACCTAACAGACGAACGCAAGAGCAAAGAAAGACTGACTGGCGCGGGCCCAAGCCCCCCGGGGGTGCGGCAGCCTAGACTCCGCCCCCAACTGCACCTGCTCAGGTCGGGCCAGCAGGGGGCGCGGGGACGGCGAGTGGGGATGTGCGGCAGGCCGGGGCCGAGGATGCGGTGAAGAAGCTTCCTCGCCGCAGCTCACGTGTGGCTGGGCTCGGGCTCCCCTTCCCACGCTGCCTCCCGGCGGGCCGTACCAAAGGCGCAGGGGAGCGGAGCGTGCCACTCGCCACAGCCACCTGCGGCCTCGCCGCCCGCAGCCCCGCCCCTCACGCCCCGGCTACTCAGAGGCCCCGCCCCGGATCCGCCCCGCTTCCCGCTCGCGGGCTTTGCCCCACCCCTCCCGCGGGCTCCGCCCCAGCCCCGTAGGCCCCGCCCCCGGCGCGGCGGAGCGAGGCTGGAGCGCCGGGCCGGCCGCGAGCCCGCCGGCCGGGGACGAGCGCCGCGGCCCATGCTGATCGCTGTCCTCCTCCTCCCCCTCAGGCGGCGCTGGCGGCGGCCCCCGGACCCGCGGAAGCCGGCATGCTGGAGAAGCTGGAGTTCGAGGAGGAAGGTGAGTGCGCGCCCGCCGCCCGCCGCGCGCCGCGCATCCCCGCCGGGACCCCGCGCAGCCGCGCCCGTCCGCTCCTGCGGCTGCGTCCTGCGGGCGCCCGGCGTCCGGCCGCACCAAGGGGCGGCCCTTTTGTCCTCGCCGCCGGGCCGGGATCCGAGCCAGGTGTCAGCGGCCCCGCGGAGCGCGTCATGGGCACCAGGGACCGGCGTCCCGCTTGCCGCCCGAGCTCCATGCTGCACGCCGGCTCCTTATCGGCGGTGGAAAAGCCTCCAACAGGGCGTGTCTGCTCCTGACGGGCAAAGTTAAATCGCGGAACCCAAGCGGCGCACGAGGTGGCTCGAGTTCAGCGACCCTCGCTCTGGGTCATTTCTGTCGCCTCTCCGCCCCGCTCGGGTTTTCTTCTCCCTGCCCTATTTTCATCTTGTGATCATCTTACAGGTAAATAGCCTGGACCTTATTTTGAGACTGTTAGCATTTGAAGGGGACGAGCTTGCTCCTTAGCAGAATTAATATTTAAAACGATGTAATGAGCTTCCCCAGTATTCTGCTCAGAAGCTGTTAGCCTTTGAAGGGGATGAGCTTGTGCTCTGAGAAAATTAATATTTAAAATGGAATCCGATGAGCTCCAAGTCGAAAGAGAACTTTATATAAGATACTTGACAGTTTGGGAAATTTAAAAGGCCTCCTCACTGTCTTGTGGGCTCCCATTATTTATTTAGTGACTTCTCTTTTTTCCAAGAGTATTGATAGAATAAAGCTCCGGAAACAAAGAATGTGCCATGTGGATGCTATCCCTTGTGCCAACTTTACTTTAATACCCCTGTTCATTTATGATCAGGCAATTACTTAAATAGGCGTGCACAGCCGACTCGGGAGCACTATAACCCGGGAACATGAGTGCATTCTCCACAGCATCTGGCAGACATGTTGGCTACAAGGTAACACATCCTTATTAAAAGACCCTTTCTGTATTTATTATTAACAGCATTTCAGAATTGTCCTGGATTTAATTTGTTTTTTATCCTACCAAAAGATAAGCCAGTGTCTTAATTCAATTGCATCTTCTTTGGTGTTTATATTGCAGGGCACATTTTGACCACTGTCTGCAAAATGATACGTTGTGCCCTTTCCACTAATACTTTGAAAGTCTAGATCAGAGGTGATTTGTCTCTGATATTAGTAACAATGAGTCTACTACATTTAAATTGTTTGGAGATTAACATGGAGGCAGGAGACTGGAGAGAAGTATCTGTTAGAGGGGAACCTTCACACGTGTTTTAAGAACCCAGGCACCGGTTCAAATCTCAGTCTCACCTCCACCTCTTACCTGGCTGAGTGACCTTGGTCAAGTTGCTTAACCTCTCTAGGCCTTAGTTTCATTTGTAAAATGGAGCTAATGTCAAGATGTTTTGGGCCGGGGATTTAGCTCAGTGGTTCTGCTGCCTGCCTCACAAGCACAAGGTCCCTAGTTCGATCCCTGGTACAAAAAAAAAAAAAAAAAAGATGTTTTGAGGATGGATGAGACTGTCTAAGTCATGGTATTTAGTACGATGGGAACCCATAGTAAGCACTTGGTAAATGTTAGTTACTGTTATAAAGTAGAGGGCCATTAACCATTGCACCAAATTTATGGACTTTTAATAAGAGATTCTTCTCACCACATTTTTGGTGGCTTTTCCTTTTTTTCTTGAGATTTATTCATTTAATTATGCTGCATTTGTCAAAGCTAATATACAGGTTTTTTTTCTTTTGCATTGTTTCTGCCAGTGCAATGAATGTAAATTATTAAATCTAAGAAAGGGAATGTCCCCTCTTCACCCGTCTATTTTTATCTGTATTGCCGTCATTACTTTAAAGCATACTGAATCCCACAAATAACCCTGTCAAACTTTTCCAGATTTTTAAGGAGACAGAATGTTAAACAATTACTTGGAAGCCGTGAGCCAAGCTGGAAGAGGGAATGGTGTTGGCATGGTAGTCCAAAATGCCGCTTTGTGTCTTTGCAGCTTTAAATTGCTTATTCATCCAAAATTTAGAAAAACCGAATATCAAGCAGAATCATACATTGCAGGACAGGGGGAGTCCTAGCAGTAGGACATCATACTTTTAAATATCCTCTGAACTGATGTGTTAGCAGACTGCATAATAGGTAGCTGTTGAATAGATCCTTGGTTTATCTTTAAAATTCTTCCTTATCCAGTTAATATCTTAATTTATGTATTGGCTCCTAAAGGCATGACTTAGATGATGATACTTTTTTTATGCATGGAAGCATATGATTACTGATAGTCCTGTTCCCATGTATTTTTCTATTTCCTAATAAATTATAAATCACATTGTACTTCTTAGAAGCAGTTGGAGACACTAGCTAGCAAAGTAGGGGTAAAAGATCAGCAATACCCAAAGTCTAGGTCATCTTTTGCCAGCAGTATGACATGAGCTCCTCTCTCCTCCTCAAACCTCTGTGACGAGAGGGACCCTGGTGTAGCATGGGTTTGATGACCTCTGTCTTTCACTGCTTTCCCACCTGCACATAGGACAAACACAGTTTCTCCTGGACCCCCTTCTGTGCAGAACACTTCCCAGAGACCTTTTTAAAAGACAGATCCAGGTTCGCCAGGTCTGGAATGGGACTTGAGACTACATTTCCACCAAGTGACAGCATGACTCTGGTTCACAGACTTCTCTGAGGAGCAAGGCTCCAGATCATGGGTTGGTTATAAGGACTCCGCTTGCTCTTGTAGCATGGAAACAGCAGCTCAAGACCCAACACCATAAGCATTGGGTTTACCAGAGCAGGTCCAATGAGGCCTTCTGGTGTAGTCGGCTGCACCCCTGCCAATGGGTTCCTCGCTTTGTATAAGCCATAGGGTGTCACCCTTTCTGCATCTTACTAATCTTGTTAGGGCTTCAAGATGCAATCCAAACCTCATCTTCTATCCCAGGTATCCCCTAGATAAATACATACCTTCTACACTTTCACAGCTACTCTTCCAGTGCCCACCATTAGGGCTGCATGGAGTAGTTGCTTTGCAGGATTTTGGGGGACCTCAGTAATTACCTACATGTTTGTAGTTGCTTTATGGAGTGTTGGGAGGATTCAGTGCTTCAGTATATGAAATGTGATGAGAACAGCACCTTGCCCAAAATGATCAGTTTATGTTTGCTTTTAAAGTTTTTTAGGGCACGGGGATTTAGCTCAGTGGTTTCGCCGCCTGCTGCACGAGTGCAAGGACCCAAGTTTGATCTGCAGTACCAAAAAAAAAAAATTTTATTGGGATACCAGTCACATCTTTCCTGTTTGTGCCTATCGTTATTGTCTTGTGCTTACTTACTGGCCAGGACCAAGCACAGGTACTTTTGCAAGCACCTGATCATAGCCCATGAGTGTTTTGAAGTAGATCATCACCCTGCAGCCTCACTCTGATTAATAAGCCTCCTGGCACTGTTCGCAGATTCTGCAGCCTCCTTAGGAGACTGTGTCCACCCCGGCTCCCACCTGTCATGGCCGGCGGTGCAAGGCCTGCACTCAATTCAGGTTCACAATAACTTGCTGTGTGGTCTTCTGGCCAGTTTATCCCCTTCCCTCCCCACCTGCACTGACTGCCCCAACCACTCTGTCCTCCCCGTTCTCCACCTGCAATGCATTTTCCCAAGTCCACGTGCTCCCCTGCTGTAGCAGCCTGGCCAGCAAGTCTGCAGGGATCAGAAGTAGGGAAGGTGAGGGCCACCTCATGCAGGAGAGGAAGCATTTATTTTCAGTCAAGTTTAGGCCCAGTTGTGTAATGAAGTGGCTGCATTTCCTTGGGCAATCCATGGAGTCTCTTGAGATTTTATTATTATTGTTATCATTATGGGTTTTCCCGGTAAAAAACAAGGGCTGGCGCTTGGTGATCTCTTGCTTTCCCTGATAGCTTGAAAAAGAGGACCCCAGAGTAACCAACAGCCAGTCTGTGTAAGGAAATCTTGTTTTGTTTATAACTCATTCATTCTTGCCTTGGGGGTGATGCTCTGAAGTGAGCCAGTGAGGAAGGATTGGTTCTTGGTGAGGAAGAAACATCTGGGCCACTGCAGCAGTTCCTGGCCCTCCAAAGGGCCACGGTATAGGACCCAGTACGGAGCAGGTGTTAGAATTTCCTGGGAGGAGGGCAGTGGGGGAGGGGTGTGAAAGGCCCAGGGAAGAGGGAGGGGTCCAAGAGGAGATGGATTCCGCCTGGCCCTGCCTGCTGGATGATTGCCTTTCTAGGTATGGAGCCCATCACTGGGCTCAATTGAATCAGCCCGCAAGGTCATTGACTCTGGTGTGAGGGGCAGTGACCCCTGGTGGTAGAAACATCAAAGAGACAGGCTTGTCAAAGTGACAGGCCTGATGAATTGTGTGCTCATCTGAGGCAAGGGATACATTGATTCTTTTTTTTTTTTTTTTTTTTTTTTGGTACCGGGGATTGAACTTGGGACCTTGCGCTTGCGAGGCAGGCGCCGGAACCACTGAGCTAAATCCCTGGCCCACATTGATTCTTGATTATAAGAGTAGTTGCAGTTTTATGAATACCTGAAGTTAAAGTCTTCCTGCCCAGCTGGGCCCATCTTTAACCTGTTGCCATACTTCATAGAGTTTTAGTTGCGCATTTCAAAATCAAAAGCCAGGCTATAACAACATTGGGTGGCATCTAAGAGCAGTTATAGGCTGTGCTGGTATTTGGATGTGGTCTGTCCAAGGTTCTTGCACTGGAAGCTTGGTCCCAGGGTGACAGTATTGAGAGGTGACAGGGTCATGGGGCACCACCTTCAGAAGAGGGCGCACAGGCATGAGTTAGCCCAGAGCAAGATGTTAAAAACGAGTGAGTCTGGCCCCTTTCTCCTCACTTACTTTCTGTCTTGCTGTGAACCCCTTCAGCCCTGCGGAGACCCTCTCAGACACAGGCACTGTGTTATTTAGATTTTCCAGCACAGAACCATGAGCAACCAGTTAAACAGAGAAGAATGCATAGGGATATCTT